AGCCTGGATGGGGTTGAGAGAATCTCAGTAAATATGCAGTCACAGGGTGAACTAGGATTGGGTGGGAATGTGGCCTCAGTGCATGAACAAATAGGAGGACCAGACACAGCCTGACTGGGAACAGGAACTGCTGCACATACTTGGCTGGCTGGGCCTGCAAAAAAGACAAAAGACACAGTGAATGATTCCAAATAGGATGTTCATGGATGGCAAAACCATGGAAGGATGAGGGTGAGAAATGTATGCAGAAAAAAAAAAAAGCTGTTAGTATGGTGAGAAAGACTTGCTATCGCCCGTATAAAGACGAGGTTTGTTACAGTGCACCTTTACAAGACTGGTTTCCCTGTGTGCATAAACCAATAAGGGCTCCCTGTAGTTAGCCATGCAGCAGTGGTACTTAAGTAGAGCTTCTGCGCTATTCCTTCCAAGAATGTGTCTCAAATTTGTTATGCTGCCCCTCAGGCTGCCCTAAAGTTATATGGACAATCACAGAGGGTAAGCAAACGTGAGGGCAGTCTTCCTGGGATCAGAGAAGAGATGTGTACCTTGCTTGCCCTTTTCTCAAGTTTTATAGAAACATGTTCTATTCAACACCGTGTGTGTGTGTGTGTGTGTGTGTGTATGCGCAGTTCTGGAGCTTGAATTTAGGGCCCCAGCACTTCCCTGAACTTTTTTGTGTGTCCCAGTCCTGGGGCACAAGCTCTGGGCCTGGGCGCTGTCCCTGAGCTCTTCAGCTCAAGGCTAGCACTCTACTACTTGAGCCACAGAGCCACTTCTGGTTTTCTGGTGGTTAATTGAAGATAAGAATCTCATGGACTTTTCTGCCTGGGCTGGCTTTGAACTGCGATCCTCAAGTCTCAGCCTCCAGAATAGCTGGGATTACAAGCATGAGCCACCTGTGCTCATCTACAAGTAGAATGGTTTTCTTAATTTATTTCTCAGTTTGTTCATTATTGGTATATAGAAAAGCAACTAATTTTGTATGTTAACTTCATATCCTGTGCTTTGCCAAAAGTGTTCATCAGACCTAGGACTTGAAAAAAGTTCCTTTTATTTTTTAATTAGTATACATTAGTTATACAGGGGGATTTCATTGTGACCTTTCATGCAGTATACCATTTATTTATTTATTTATTTATGTATGCATGTATGTATGTCAGTGGTGGGGACTGAATTCTGGGCCTAGGCGCTGTTTCTCAGCTCTTCAGCTCAAGGCTAGCATTCTACCACTTGAGCCATAGCACTACTTCTGGCTTTTTTTGCTTATGTGGTTCTGAGAATGGAACCCAGGGCCTCATGCATGCAGGGCAAGCACTCTACCACTGAACCACCTTCTCAGCCCAATATACAATGTATTTTAACAAAGAAGGATTATATATATATATATATATATATATATATATGTATATGTATATACACACACACACACACACACACACACATAATTCTTCCTTAGATATAAAAGGAAAGATATATTAATATATGTTTTTTCTCAAGGCTAGGGAGTGCTCTACCACTTGAGCCACAGCTTCTAGCTTTTTGGTGATTAATTGGAGATGAGTCTCACTGACTTCCTGTCTAGGCTGATTTTGAACCACAATCCTCAGACCTCAGCCTTCTGAGTATCTAGGATTCCAGGGGTGAGTTACTGATATTCATTTCATTCTGTTTTTTTGGGGGTCAGTAGACTGGCTTCAAACCATGATCCTCAGATCTCAGCCTCCTGAGTAGCTGGGATTACAGGCATAAACCACTGGTGCCTGGCTTCCTTCTGGTTTTAAAACCGGGTTTTTAAACCCCAGGCTCAAACTCCAGGAGTCTCACATTAGGTCTTGCCATTTGCCTCAATATGCCAAATCAAGAGACATGGTAAAGGACAGAGAAAGGAGATTGATTACAAGACATCCACAAGAAAATAGCATATCTGTGTATTTCCAGCTGTCTTTGGGTGTGAGGACATTGGCCTTAGGTTAAATAGGGAGAATTGGAGACAGGAGGCTAAAAGGTATCCATTCTTAAAAATAGTTTCAAAGTCAGAAATTGGTGGCTTATGCCTGTACTGCTAGCTACTCAGGAGGCTGAAATCTGAGGATCTTGCTTTGAAGCCAGCCAGGGTAAGGACATTCCATCATACTCTCATGTCCAATTAGCTACCAAAAATCCATAAATAAAGCTGTGGTTGAAATGATACAGCACCAGTCTTGAGTGAAGAAGCTAAAGGACAGCACCCCAAGTTCTGATTTCAAGTCCCAGTATTGGAACAAAACCAACTAACCAACCAGTCTCAAGTCACAGAGATGGCCTAGTTAACCACTAGCTCAGTCTGGAGGCCTAGCAGGTCTTCTGTAGATTTTGTCTGTTCTTTCTAAGATGATAAGGAAAAGGAATTGCCTGCCTCAGGGTCTTTCCTGCCCAGCCTGGTTTTGAACGGTGATCCTCAAATGTCAATCTCCTGAGTAATTAGAAGTATAGGCATGAGCCCTCAGCACCTGGTTCAAAAGCATCTTTTAAGTTGTCTCTTACAAAAAGCAAGCAATGGTAAGTCCTGGACACTCACAGCTACTCTCAAGGACCACTCCTGGGCCTTGTCTGTCATTTTCCTCTGGGAGTGCTCAGGATAGTTTCTGAGGCTGAGACTTTCTCCTTCACCCACCCGTGATGTCATGCCATCATTGTTGCCAGGCCACTGAGCTAGAGCTGCTTGTGTGCCTGAGTGCTAGTGAGCAGTACATGGAGATAGGCCCATGGAGGAGAGTTCTGGACAGAACAAAGGGGGAGGGAGTAGGAACCAACTGTTAAGTCTGTATCTTCTCTTGGCAGGGCACTGTGCTACATTTTATCCATCCTTTACTTTTTTGCAAAGAACAAAGTATTGTTACCCTTTGTGAGACTAGCCAGGGGCCATCATGTGAGAGCTATCAGTGCTTGTTGGCCTGCTGCATGCTGGTATAATTTTCTGTCTGCAAGTAGACCAAGCCAACTGGAAAGGTAGTCAATAGGTAGGATGAGTGCAACATTGCCCTCTTTTTTTTTTTGTTTTGGTTGTGGGGCTTGAACTCTGGGCCTGGGTGCTGTCCACATTGCCCTCTTTGAATGTCACTGGAGCAACAGTTACTGACTGGATCCAGGTTGGGGCACAAGAAGGGGCATGTCCTGAAGTATATGAGGTGACAAGTCTATTGTCTAGTGACATGGAGAACAAATTGATGCGTGTAAAAGAAAAACATACTTAAAAAGCAAATCCCACTGGGTGCCAGTGGCTCATGACTACAGTACTAGCTATGCAGGAGGCTGAGATCTGAGATCTAAGCTAGCTGGGCAGAAACATCTGTGGGAATATCATCTCCAACTAACCAGCAAAAGGCTGGAAATGGAGGTATGGCTCAAGTTGTAGAGCATCAGCCTTGAGCTGAAAAAGCTAAAGGAGGTCATAAGTCCCTGTGTTCAAGCCCCAGTATTGGCACAAAAGAAAAAAAAGGCAAATCTCTTAGAGAATTGAAACCTATATTGTTTGTTTTTGAAACGATAAGATTGGTATTGGGCGAGATAAATGGCTTAAAGACAGAACTCTTATCCACAAAATCCTCATACTCCTATTACTGTCTTTAGATTTCTCACAGTTTTCACAGGATTTTTGCTTACTTCCTTTTATCCTAACATTTGAAGGTCTTAAGAGCCCTGTTGTTTTATTACATAGAAATTCTGTTAGCCTATTTGCAACAGTATCTATTCTAGATTTGTCCATCACTATCTAAGCTGTGTTCTTTTCTCAGATTTCTATGCAGCATTTCCAAGGTGAAGGCAGAGTATAATGTTCTGCATTACACTGTGGTGCTCAGATAAAAGGAAAGGACTGCAAGACACTTGAGAGAATTGGAATATACTGGATGTTTTCTGTTTACAGGACAGTGAGCTGTGTCAGTCTCTATTACAACTCTGCTTCTTCAGGGTGTTTGGAGAAGAGCATCTCCTCTCAGGTGAGATCCTTTGGAGAAGAGCATTTCCTCTCAGGTGAGATCCCTTTCATCTTCAGTTTATAAGAACCACAGACTTTGGTCTTCGCAGAGGGATTGAGGGAGTGCAACTGAGGTGTTCCCAGTAGAGAGTGTGGCAGCCGGAATGTGCCTACTTACTCCCCATGGACCTGTTGCGTGTCTCATCTCCGTGGGCCTGGAGTCTGGAAGCTTTCAGCATCCTGGGGTGGTGGGAGGGCCAGCCTGGGTCTGGGTTGCCACCCTTTCCCCCCACCATGTGCAGATTCAGCCTCAGCTCCCTATTGTCCCAACACCACAGTGACACGTAATGGTGTTTTAAGATCCTGCCCAGGCCCAGGGGCAGGCTTGAGCGCTCCAAGAGAAAGGGAGTGGAAGCAGCGCCTTCCTCACAGGCTCTGTCCTCGGGACTGGACCACTTGTGGGGGCCAGAGGGAGGGGTTGGGAGAGGGATGGGCGGAGGCACAGTAGGGAGATCACAGGTTAGACTGTGCAGCGGGCACCGAGGAGTCTCCCATGCTGAGGAGCCATGATATGGCCACATAGGCTGGGCAGAAACACCTGAGAGGGCAGTGGCCCATCTAGCGCGTCTAGGATGGAGTCAAGGCCTGGTCACGTGGGCTCTCTGTGGATGCAGAGACAGGCGCCTGCTATTGAGCTGAGTCTCCTCAAGACTCACACTGTTTTTTGGCCCAAGAGCCCTGAGACCTCATGAATGGGTCCATTTGGAGGCGTTCTTTGTTCTAAGCCCGCTACAGACACCACAGGAGGTCAGGGGAGGATGCTTGGGAGGGAACATCTGTTGCCGAGGCAACCAAGGAGGCGCCGATTGGGTGGAAGCACCCCACGTGGGTGGGGTTGCGCAGGCGCCATGGGCATCACAAGGCACGTGCAGGCTCGAGGAGTGGGGCTTCCTGCTTACACTTCCTGTCGTTGACGAAGCACCAAGATGGCGGGTGTGGTGGTGTCTGTGCTCTAGGGCGCTCTGAGAGAAAGAACAGGACAGCCATGGAGGACGAAGGCCATACCAGCAGCAGCAGCAGCTGTGAATGCACAGATGCTGCAGCTGGTCCAGAAGAAGGCGAGGGCGGCCAGCGAGAGTCCCCAGTGGCCGAAGGGCAGGCGGCCCCCGAGAGGCCAGCATCCGACGGTGGCCAGAGCGACGAGCGTCCCCAGAGCGGCCCCGAAGGCGCGCAAGGCCGCGGTGCCCCGGGCAGCCCCGAGCCCAGTAGCCACGTGGGGGAAAGCGCGGTGGGCGTGCTCGCCATCCCCAGTCCGCGGGGCGAGCGGGCACCCCCTGCTCCAGCCGCCAGTGGAGATGCCGCCACCTCCTTCCTAAGGCCTGGAAGCCGACTCCTGGAGTTGTATCCTTCCCACAGGGCGCGAGGCGGGGGACGGGTCGAGGCTGGGCACAGAAGGCCAGGCAAGGCTGCTGCGGGTGCGGAGAGGAAGTGGACCACAGCCCGAGAAGGAACCGAGGGCAGTGGCGGGTGAACCCCGTGGGCAAAGGCACAGCCAGAGCGGGCATCGCGGAAGGCAGGGGGTGGTCTGTGGCTGACACGACTGCAGGGCGCTGAAGAAGGCCTGGAGCCCTGGGGAGGTGGCTGCGGGGCTCAGGTTGGCCGGAGGGCGCTGCGTGCCAGGCCAGGCCTCTGAAAGGGAAGGGGTCGGGGGCAGGAGCAGAGTGAGCAGTGCGTGGTGCCTTAAGTCTGTCTTCCTCCAGCTCTCTGACTGTGCCCTTTGGATCCCCTCTGGAGGCAGACATGGCCCGCAGGTCCCTGGTCACCTATGCCCAACGTCAGCAAGAGATGGTCCACAAGGAGCTCACAGTGACTGGCAGTGTCTTGACGGTGTCAGTTCTAGCAGAAGCTGGCGCGGGGTAGTGGGAGGCAGTCTGCACTATCGTTGTAATGGGGCGCTGGTTGGGTTTGGTGTTAGCAGATTGGGGTGAGATGCCCTGGATCTCCAGACTTCTCATCTTTTTATTTTTTTTCTCCCCCTTAATTTTAGTAGGTGGACGACTGAAGACCCTGTTCTCTTCCGAATTTCAATCAACACTTTCCTGGACCTGTTTTGTGTTGTGATGAGGAACATTCGGCGCTTGGAAACTCTGGGTGTGCTAAGGCGAGGTCGAGAAAGCAGACCTGAACCTTAAGTTTTTTCTCTTCTGCAAGTTGTTGGGAATCGACACTTTAAACTGTATAATTGCCCTTATTCTTTGACGTCTAGTTTTCGATGCTATGTATCCTTGGTGTGACTAGTTCATCTTGTTTTTTAGTTTTAAAGGAGTTAATTCTTTAACATTTTTCCTGAAGCAAAGAAAACTGCGCCTATTTTCTTTTTAAATTTGATTTTGCTGTGAGAATTCTTTATATTCTCATTTTTGTCATTTACTATATTTTGAATATTGTATTATGAAGAAACTTAATTAAAAATCAAGATAATCTTTGGAGCCTTGTTTTTCATTTATATGTATATATATGTGATTATTTACCTAGTTATATAGTCATATTAGTATCCCAGTATATAAAATTCTGTATAGAAAATGTTTAGTCTTTTTTTTTTTTTTTTTGTTGGTTGTGAGGCTTGAACTCTGGGCTTGGGTGCTGTCCCTGTGCTCTTCAGCTCAAGGTGAGTGCTCTACCGCTTGAGCCACAGCTCCTCTTCTGGTTTTCTTGTGGTTTATTGGAGATAAGAGTCTCACGGATTTTGTTGCTTGGGCTGGCTTTGAACCATGATCCTCAGATCTCAGCCTCCTGAGTAGCTAGGATTACAGATGTGACCCATTGGCTCCTGGCCTAGCCCTACTTTTTACTTTTGTTTTCATTTATTATACTAAATTTTTTCTTTTCTTTTTTGTTGGTTACTGTAGGGCTTGAACTCTGGGCCGGTCCTTTGAGCTCTTCAGCTCAAAGCTAGTGCTCTACCCACTTGAGCCACAGTGCCTCTCTGATTTTCTGGTGGTTAATTGGAGATAAGAGTCTCATGGACTTTCCTGCCCATGTTGGCTTTGAATCACGATCCTCAGATCTCAACCCCCTGATTACAGGTGTGAGCCACCTATGCCAGGCTATACTAATTTTTTTCTAAGAACTCTTTTCTTCAAAGTATATTAAATGGAAGCATAAATTTTTTTGGCCAGTCTTGGGGCTTGAACTCAATGCTTGGGCTCTGTCCCTGAACCTCTTGTGCTCAAGGCTAGTGCTCTAACACTTGAACCATAGTGCCACTTCTGTCTTTCTCTGAGTAGTTTATTGGAAGTAAGAGTATCATAGGCTTTCCTGCCTAGGCTGGCTTTGAACTGGAATCCTGAGATCTCAGCTTCCTGAGTAGGTAAGATTATAGGTGTGAGCCACTGGCACCTGGCTGAAGCATAAACATTTATGTCATAAAAATTTGTAAGTGTAGAAATTTATAAGTTGTGATTATGAGCATTTAAAAATTTCCTGATGTTATTGTTACAGGTAATTCTGTAATACTTCTTTTTATTGTGCTCTCCCTGAGCTCAGGGACAGAGTACTCTTTTTGAGCTTTCATGCTCAAGGTTAGCAATATACCATTTGAACCAGTGTTCCCCTTCTGGGTTTTTGGTGGTTAATTGGAGTTAAGAGTCTCGGGTTTAGCCGGGCGCTGGTGGCTCATGCCTGTAATCCTAGCTACTCAGGAGGCTGAGATCTGAGGATCGCGGTTCAAAGCCAGCAGGGGCAGGAGAGACCGTGAGACTCCTATCTCCAATAAACCACCAGAAAACCGGAAGTGGCGCTGTAGCTCAAGTGGTAGAGCACTCGCCTTGAGCTGAAGAGCTGAGGGACAGCGCCCAGGCCCAGAGTTCAAGCCCCACGACCGACAAAAAAAAAAAAGAGTCTCGGGTTTGTCTGTCTGTGCTGACTTTAAACTGTGATCTCAGATCTCAGCCTTCCGATCAGCAAGGATCACATATGCATGAGCCACTGATGGTTGGCATTACCATAATATTTTTTGTACATTAGTCATGTGACAATGCTCATTTCCTTATGAAGGAGTCTAAGAAGAACTAGCAGTGACAAAGTACTGCCTTTTCCAGTTCTGACCACCAGATTCAAAGGCCATGGATGAAGAAATGCCGACACAGTGAATCCTTTATTTTATCCCCAGGGCTAGGAATGAAGCTAAAAAGATAAAGAGAAGATGTTTCTTTCTCTCTGTTTTAAAGGCTCAGATTGTCCTGGGCATATCTTTTTGTTGTTGTTGTTGTTGGTTGCGGGTCTTGAAGTCTTGGCCAGCATGCTGTCCCTGAGCTCTTCAGCTCAAGGCGAGCACTCTACCACTTGAATCACAGCGTCACTTGTGTTTTCTTGTGGTTAATTGGAGATAAGAGTCTCACAGATGTTCCTACCTTGGCTGGCTTTGAGCCTCAATCCTCAGATCTCAGTCTCCTCAGTAGTTAGTATTATGGACAAGAACCACTGGTGCCTTGCTTGTCCTGGGCCTATCTTAAGGGAGTTAAGGAAAATTAAAAAAAGGGCACATTCCAATCTGTAAATAACTGAAAGTCAGGAAGCAAAAATATAGTTTCAGTGCCAGATCTAGGATATCAGGAAACTGTAAGATACATATCCTCAGGTACTCATTCCTGTTGTTTGACAAGATTACTGCAGAAGTTCAAACACTCATATAGTCTGAGCAAACCCACAACGAGGGTTTTCTGCTGCCATCATTTATACTCCAAAGCACACCAGTTAAATCTCCTGCAGCTAGCCACAGTCCCCACATTGATCTAGTTTTTACATGCCGCCTTTACTTATTAAGCTAATTAAGAAATTTAATAAATAAGTTCTCTTTTAGATAGTGCCTTCATTCCAGAATTTTGGGGTTCTCCAAAATCTTTTCACCACAAGGTTTCCTTTTTTTCCAAAATAAAAGAAAAATAAAACTTTTATGTGAGGGATGTAACAACAATTTTTCAGATATGTGAAGGAAAGTAGTAGGAAAATGTTGTGTTAATGGGGTGGTGGTTAGCTTAGTCTTAATACCTTGTATACTGGAATATTTCTAACATTACTCATTAATTCTAGTAATTATTTTATAGATTGTAATAGATTTTCTATAAGAATATTTGCTATGCCTTTACATAAAGTAGCTTTATTCTTTTCCAATAGGAATAGCTTTCATTGATTGTTTATTGGATTATTAATGCCCTATATCCTCGTTATTTTTAGATTCAATGCTTGGCCTGAGTGTCGTTACAAATTCTTGCCTAATGATGAAACTTTCCACCCTAAAAGGTGTCTGAGTCGCTGGTTCCTGTCTTGTTGTAGTTTCTTACTTATTCTTTTGGATATGAGGGGGTATCATTCCTTGTTTATCATCATACATGTCTGTGCATTGCTCTTCAGTTGGATATTTGAGCTGGTCCTCCTGGCTATCCAGGGTTCTAACTCTCTTTTTTTTTGTTGGTCATGAGGCTTGAACTTAGGGCCTGGACGCTGTCCCCGAGTTCTTCAGACTTTCCTGCCTGGGCTGGCTTTGAACTGCGATCCTCAGATCTCAGCCTCCTGAGTAGCTAGGATTACAGGTGTGAGCCACTGGCACCTGGCTAACTTGATACTTTCATAACCTAGCTTTCAGGGCTGGGAAGGTGGGTCAGTAGAGTGTTTGCCTAGCATGCCTAAAGCCCTGAGTTCAATTCCTCAGTACCACATACACAGAAAAAGCTGGAAGTGGTGCTGTGGCTTAAGTGGTAGAGTGCCTGCCTTGAGTACAGAGAGGCTCAGGGACAGTGCCCAGGCCTTGAGTTCAAGCCCCAGGTCCAGCAAAACAAACAAATATAACCTAGCTTTCAATAATGTTGATTTTGCTAAAGAACAACACAGTGATGATCACTGTGGTGGGAAGAGCTTCTACATATTGGTGTGCTGACACGAGGCTAGTTATTTTGATTTATATGAGACATTACTGTCAAGTCAAAGACAATTATTGCTAATCAGAAATTAGCAAATATCTTACACAACCTTACTGCAAGTAGCACTCCTATGCTTGATCAGAAGCAGAAAATGGCTTTCCTAAAGAGTGAAGAAGGTTATATGGCAAATGTTACTTGTTTAACAACCAAAAAGGAGGACAAAACAATGAATGGGAACTGGGCATTGTGGCATATGCTTATAATATAATCACTTGGGAAGCCAAGGCAGGCCAACTTCCTTCAGGGTTATCTGGAAGGCACAGCTTTGCTAGCTGTGCCAGAAAGACCACCTCTGCTGTCATACCTGCCTCTGGGGGCCAACCTGATACATTTCAGAGTGACCAAGGCTAGTTTAGAAGCCCAGGACATGCACATTGGCTTCTCTTCTTAGTGTCCAGTCCTGGAGGAAAGGAAGACCTGTGCCATTTGACATTCATATTGTGGGTTAAAATCCCTGCCCCAAAGCCTGTCTTCACGTTTTACCCAAGCTTGTGCTGTATCCAGAGTCTCCTGCACTTGATGCAACCCACCCATTCACATTCCTCTTCTAGTGTCTTTAAGTTGGTGGTAACATCCTACTTGAATATATATCAAGTCCCTCTGTAGTTCATCCACAACTGAGATGGAAAACAGCTTATCTTTCCTGAGTGAGGATGGCTCCTCTCTACATACAAATTCCAAAGTACTCCATGTATTTGAAGGTTCTTGCAAACTTCTGGCCTGCAACAAAGTGCAGTATCCTATGCAGCCCAGAGGTATTAAGAGCATAAATTCTTTAAACACACACACACACACACACACACACACACACACACAACCTTCTAGATGCATGTGCTAAATATACACACAACATATACATGTGAACACATACTTGTACATACAACAAAAGTAGAAGTGCGTTACATTAACAGAGCATCCAAATTTGCCTACCTACTTTAAAATACCTCTAGAATTCTTTCTTTTTAGCCTGATGACCTCCTATTGTCAGAGATCTTCTTATCTCAAATTCTTTGGCTGCTTTTGGAAATGTCCATTAGTTCTCTGGTACTGCAGCTCTCATCTAGTTCTTGGCTGGGGTCAAGCACGAAGCAGCTTCTCTTCTGTACTCTGGTTTGTGCCTGGCTTGAACAGCAGCTCATATCTTCTGGTCAGGTCTTGTTCACTAAAAAACAGAAGTTGGGGCTCCTCTATGATTCTGTACCTCTATTCCTCATGTTCAGTTGGCCACAGCTCTTTAGAATGCTCTCCTAGTGCCTAATATACTCTGGTAACCCTTTTCAACACACATAAAC